GGCTATTTTTCTTCATGATCTGCATGTTAATCTTGATTCTAATCTACAGACTGACGTCATTTTCCTGGACTTCGCGAAAGCATTCGATAAAGTACCGCATAAACGTTTGCTTCTAAACCTTTGTCAGTTAAGTTTAAACTCTGATATCTTAGATTGGATTAAAGAATTCCTAAACAATCGCTCTCAGTCTGTTCTTGTTAACAGTCAGTCCTCTCATTCACTTCCAGTTACATCAGGCGTCCCCCAAGGATCCGTTCTTCGTCCCCTCTTGTTCCTAATATACATTAACGACTTACCGCTTCATGTGTCATGGTTATATCCGTATGTTTGCTGACGATTGTGTTATCAATCACTCTGTGACTAAATTTTTTGACCAACGATCTCTCCGAGATGACCTTAACCACGTAAAACAATGGTGTGGCGATTGGCTTACGAAGCTAAACATTGATAATTGTAAACTCGTGTCCTTTCATCGCGGTCGCAATCCACTTCTCTTCACTTACGCTCTCGCTAACATACCCGTAGAAATCATAGGGTCATATAAATACCTCGGCGTCACTCTCTACAATGATCCATCGTAGCGTTTGCATGTTACTAGTGTTATCTCATCCGCAAACAAAACATTGGGTTTCCAAAAACGTCACCTCCGTCACGCCCCCCCCCCCCCCTCCATGTGAAATTACTCGCCTACAAATCCCTTATCAGATTAAAGCTGGAATATGAGTCCGCTATCTGGAGCCCGCACCAAGTATACCTCGTAAACACACTTGAAGCAGTTCAAAATCGCGCTACTAGATTCATTTATTCCTCGTATTCATATAATGTGAGCATATCCACCCTGAAAGCAAAATCAGGCTTGCCTAGCCTATCTACCCGTCGTCGCATCACCACCCTTTCTTTGTTTCACAAGTTATAATATTCTCCGCTTGGTTCCACGCCTTACATCATACCGCCGGCACGTATTTCTCAACGCACTGGTCATCAGCTCCAAGTGGCACGCCCAAGCGCCCGTTTTGTCACATTTTTTTTCCTCCTTTTTTCCCCGCGCAGCCTCCGACTGGAACGGTCTTTCCCACAACATCGCCGCCATCGCCTGCCCATCAACCTTCATGGACAATGTAGCAACTCATATCTCTCTCTGGATATTCATGGCACCCAAGAAGTAGTTCATGTGTACCCCCCCCCCCCCCCTCCCCGCCCCTTATGTAATACCCCCTGATGGGGCGTCTTTAAGGTAATAAAGGGAAGTGAAGTCTAGTGTGCGTCGGCATCGCGAAAATTCAGCCCAGAAAGTACGAACATCAAAGGGTAGGGGTGATAATGAACAGGCACTTTCGAGAACAAAAAACTGGGACGAAATGATACAAGTTACTCCCCGAGTAGTAATAATCGCGAATCTTCTAGAATTCCGTGACCGAGTGTTGCTTGCACGAGCCGGCGCGTAACAATATTGCCGCGCGCGCAGCTGACCAAACGTATAGGCAGCGCGCTCGTGGCCTAACGGTTATCGCGCTTGCCTTCCACGCAAAAAGCAAATCTTCGATGCCTGGCTGCGGGGACACATTTTCTTTGACGCTGTAATGTGATGTTCTGGTAAATTCGAGAACCGTGTTGATGATTCGAGGTTAGAATGTTCTGCGCGACGACCCTTCTACGCCGATTGTTCCAGAAGCCCAAGCGCGTACAAAAGGGGCTCAGCGTGGCACACCACAGTCAGTCTAACGCTAGCGCCGTATTCTGCCTCTTCGCCGACACCGTCGCTCGTTTACGACGCCTGTTCTTTTAACCCTTTGTTTTGGCACAAGTTCGCCTTCATAAAACCTTTAGTTTCTTCACCGAACGCCGTCTCGTCACTTCGCCCGTGACAGTATAAGCATGTTTAACTCGAGCAGCGTGACGTGTTCATTCGGGACGGCTCAAGTTGCAATGCACAAGGGTTTTAGTAGAAAGGGATCTCAGGTCAGGCTGTCAAGACATTTAAAACTATTGGTGCTAGTAGAAATATGTTTATTACATACGGTTCTAGCTTCCATTTTTCTCAATAACTTTAATATTTTTATATTAATATTTAGTATCTTGACACGAGATAGCACAAAAGGTCATGGCATAAATTATAAAGAAACGTGTCTTAAATTGGTAAATATATATGAAATGTATAGGGGGAAATAACATTAATCAAATGGTATTGTGAACTTATAACACTCGCACTGGACCCAAGACGGAGGCTATAAAGAGGAGACAAAAACAAGACGTCTCGAACACACCTACTAAATTTTATTCAGGATACTCCTTTTGGTAACCGTACAAAAGCTCACCGGACAGAAGATCACCGGACAAAAGCTCACCCGCTTTTTCACAGACCCGAACAAAAGCTCACCTCATTTATTATTTTTTTGTTTTTGAGGGGGGGGGGGGGGGGGGGGTTGCCTCCCGAGCGACACACGGGTTGGGATGAAGTGCGGATGTGATAGACATTGCACCATTTTTAGGAGAACTGGCGCTCCATCCCATGCAAAGGTGTGGACAGATAAGCCATAACAGGCAGAGAAGCAACCATTTGGTGCCAAACTTTAGCTCATCCAAACTGAGTGGAGCGGATAAGATCAAGCTTGCTTGACTCAATGTATGCCGGAGCACTCTTGTGCCACGCCCAAGAAACTTCACGAACCGAAGTTTTTGAACCCGAAGAGTGACCGATGCGAAGTTACAATTTGGTGATTTCGCTTTTTTAATGTGCTGATGTCACGCTAAACGCGCACATGTAGGTTTGGCAGAATGTCTCTTCATTACTAATTCATGGGTTTTTAGGCGTTCAGGGTAATATTTGAACTGATTGGTAAAATAATTAAATTGTTTCCCTCATTGTGCGTCGTAAATATCGTTAAAATCAAGGATTAGCTCAGGGTGATGTGAAAGAGAAACTGAAGCAAAGCTGTATTATACAAACCATCGAGTTGCGAATTAAAAAGAAAAAAATTTGGAGGAACGGGAATAGGGCATTTTGTATAAATACAAGACAGACGACCACTTTAGAAAGCATTGCGGAATTTTGGATAAGCTGGCGTTTTTTCCATCACAGCTTGTGCCCGAAGGGCTAACCTACATCAGGGAAAGGTCTACCGGTGACATCGGCAACCTGCTGAACTACTTTGAGTGCACGTATGTCAAAGCCCCTTCTGTTATGCTTCTGCTGCTTCTGCGGCGGCACTCAGAGCGAATTCTTCCTTTTGTCTGACTGTGCGCCGAAGATGACCAGAGTTTCCCCGATACGGTAAAATATGTGCGAAGCCACTCTTTAAGATAAAGACCTGACGAACAACATCTGCGAAGGATGGAATTACGGAATCCAGAAGCTTGTCGTCTACGCCCATCCAGGCGTCATGAGGCTAATTGAATGGCTACAACAAGACCCGGCGCTCTTTGCCACGACATTGACACAAGCCCGGAGAAGTGAGCCCTCAGTGAAGCGGGTCCGAAAAAACCACTCTGCACTTGCAGAATCGTCCGGAAAAATATTTGCGAGGGTTTGCAGGTACACCGAGATCTACCAAGGCTGCTGAAGATAGTAGGGGACTGCATTCGCTTCTAATCAATAGATAAATAAGCTTGTTTCCACTCTAATAAAAAAGATCATGCGCCTCTCAGATTTAATTTATTGTTGCAATTGAGTGTCGAACATAAGCACCTAAGTTGTCCGCACTGGCGTTAATAGAAACATAAAATTTTCTTCTGGTGAGATTTAGTCCAGTGAGCTTTTCTCTGGTGAGCTTCTGTCCGAGGAGACTTTGTCGGGTGAGCTTCTGTCCAGAGAGCTTTTGTCCGGTGAGCTTTTATCTGGGATTTACTTCGTTTATACACCCAACTCCACTCCGCCATCCAATAGAACAGGGCCCAAAGTTCGCCACAGTTTACGGACGACTACAACAGGTGATCAAGAGGTGTGCATGAAGCAAAAGACAAAGCCCTAAGAATCGCTACTTGATAACTACACAATGGCCAAGGTCACTTCCCTCTACCGACGAAAGGTTCCAAACGCTTGCAATCGTAAAAAAAAAAACAATTTTACAGATTACAACCGCAAAGGGTTCACAGGAAACAGAAGGCACCGCTCTACGCATTGCTAGTTCATAACTACACAATGGTCACTTGCCTCTACCGACGAAACCTCCCAAACGCTTGCAATTATAAGAAAAAAATCATTTACACTTTGCAACCGCAAAAGTTCCTTCGTTACTTTCACACGCCCCAAAGTTCTCTGCAGCTTCCAGATGACTTCAAAAAAAGTCAAAATGTTAACAGGAAACAAAAAACAACGACCTCAGAATCGCTAGTTTATACCCAAACAGCACGGATTTTGGCCAAGCAATGGCCAATGTTTGGCGATGGTCTTTTGGCCAGTGGCCAGAGAGTGACTATTCATTGGCCAATGTTTGGCCGATGGCTGATGGCCAGTGGCCATTGGGCAATGACCAGATAAAGGTCAGTCACCGGCCACTCTCTGGCCACTGTCTGGCCACTTGGCCAAGGACCATTGCCAGCGATTGGCCAATGACTGGCCTACTCTGTGCTGCTTGGGTAGTTACACAATAGCCAAGGTCACTTCCATATACCGACGAAACCTACCTACGAAATAAAAGTATTTGTTGCATTGAACTAAAGGCATTATTAAAAAAGTCCATGCAATGCTTTTTAGTTAATTAGCCTGGTGATCGTCGCAGTCATATAGCATTCTATGTCCGCCTCGCCCGATAGACAGAAATTAGAGGGGATATCTATGTAATATTGAATGTCTAATTGTTTGAATTAGGAACAGCCAACGCGGAACACAGGCTCATGAATTTAATTTCTCTCGAGGAGAGGGTGGTGTCAGTTTTTCTGCGTGTCTGTGCAGGAAACAATGGCTAAAAAAATAAACTTTTATTTACAGATTCACTTGTTGAATGACTCTACTCACGGGGGTCGTAGCAGTGAAGTTATTGTTTAACCCGAAAGCAACTTACCCGGTTATAAACAGAAGAACATCACAGTCTCTGTAATAAGATGGCTTTTTTTCTCTCAGTTTAGTCAATTCTCGAATAGTTTTGTCAGATTCAACATATGCCTCACCAGACGAAACTTCTTCAATTACAGGTAGTGTCTCATTTCCCTACAACAAGAATGTTGCAATAATTAATATTACTATTAGATTGTTTTACCAAAGAGCGGTGCTATTGATTTGAATGAGGGACTGCTAAGCTCGGGGACAAATTTTCTTTGACTTTTTGAGCAGAGGAGGAGAGCGCGCGCACAGCTTTGTTCCGCGCTCAAAACGGTAGATGGCAGGCGTGCCCGCACCTTTGACTACATTGCCTGGAAAGGTTGTCCCCGAGTATAGGGTCGCTGTTTTTCTACGAATATTTAGTATTAGGTTCTTATTGTTTTCCTGTACCTTTGTTTGTTTGTGCTGCTTATCCAAACAATATGAACATCAAAGCTACAAATATTGGTATTATATAAAATACTGTATATAAAAATTTACAATAATTAAAGCAAAACATTTATGTTATCAATACGACTACAGCGAGTCAAATTATGAACTACCTCATTAATTTCCCCTAATAATTTTCAGGAATTATTTAAGAGTGGATAATAACAAAGGTTGAACAATATCCCTCAATCTTTGTTAGTGATATTTTATTCTTCGATTTGGTATATTGCTTTTTATATTTCACATTTAAGTTGTATTCACAGACAATTACATTAACTTCGACGTGATAAATGATGTGGTTGTGCCAGTTCACGACCCCAGAAGCACGATGTCTATCGTAGATGACAGACCATTCGCCTTGCTCTGGTTCTTCCAAGGTCTTTAGAAAAGTTATTTTTAAGCGCCTTAGTTTTTGATTATAAGCCTTCGCTCAAACTGAATAAGCACAGGGTTTGTCGTGGACGACCTGTTGAAAATAATCCTGTAACCTTTTTGGAGTTCACGACTCCTATATTTGAATCACGTGGCCAAGTTGATGTTACTTACCTTGACAGTTCGAAGGCGCGTGAGCGTGTAGATTACAATCGATTGTTGATTAAGCTGTTTAATCTGGGTATTCGGATTTTTGCGATTTGTGTATGAGCTACCTCAGTAATTGCTGAAGTATGATTAAAAAAAAAAAAAACCGAGACTGCAGAAAACGACACACACCCACAAAAGTCTCAATCACAGATGGCATTTTACTTTAGCAAACCTGGTTAAAAAGGGGAAAAAAAGGGGGGAGGAGAAAACCACAAGAACACCTCTTTCCACAAACGTACATTCCAAACAGTTAACAGGACAATGAAGACCTCCGGAACCTTGTTCCGCCTCTCTTCTATTTAAACCCTCTCATCCCGACCCGAAATGAACAAAACAACTTTATTTTCCGGAAACGTGGAGGCACTTAGAATACAGCCCTTTTCAAGGCCTAAGAAACCGCCGAAGTTCGCGGTCCAAACGAAACGAAGACTTATGAAAAGTGTTCCCGTGACTTAGTATTGTGAGTGCTTCGTTTATCAAACGTTTGTGGTATTCTTTTTCCCTTTCTTCTACTGATGTCCAATTCAACAACGGCAAAACGATGTCGCGGAGGCCGTCATTGTCCTGTTAAATGTTTCAAATGTACATTTGTGGAAAGAGGTGTTCTTGGGGTTTTTTCTTCCCCCTATTGTGTCGCTTTTTCCCTAATTAACCAGGTTTTGGAAAATAAAATTTTAGCTGTGTGTGAAGCTTTTGAGAGTGTGTGTCGTACCTGCAGTCTCGTTTTTTTAATCGTGTTTAATATATACCGGCTCGTTTGCGCCCTAACATTTATTTCATTCGTCAAATACTCTGTTCTATCTAAGATGCAAGTCATGTCCCTATATTTAAATTCCGGGCCACCAAAATTGTCGAACTCCGGACCCTAGCTCATCAATATTTTCGCGAACAATATTGAATGCGGATGGTTGAGCGTGTTGATATCTAAATTATGATAATGACAGAGGGACATGGATGACAAACAGATGACACAAGCTTCACTTCGCTGACAACGTGACATTTTATTGTAGTACCCCTACGTCTGATGACTGTGAATTGTTGCAAAATGACGCAGACGCAATTAATCTTTGATGTCGCAAAACCTTGCTGACATTAAATTTCGCAAAACCTCAGGTTTTCCAGGCGTAACGGCTAAAATCAGTGCTCATTCATAGCGATTAGATGGCTCTGATATTGCAAGGTCTTTTGTTGTACGTGGCCTAAGTGCTTTGCTTTCTCCTGTTTCGAACATCGCAAATTATCGTTTTCGTTTGCTATGCGTTATTTCAGGTATTACTCGTGGCTTCTACAGTTACACTTGCATTCTGCAGCTATTTCGCTCGCTAGTTCTAACAAGGTTGAAATCTTCTTTTACTTTGTTACATTGCCTAGGTGTTATAGTTTAGAGCCTGTGCAACGACGCTTCGTAAGGGTTTTGTATGATCGCCACATTAGACGGGGAGTCTTTTTATGACTATCTGCGTCTTTTAGCCACTCTTGGTCTTTGGCTTCTTGGTTTAATACAGTGGAAAACAGGCATCCTATGCTCCACGCTGCGCGGCTTATTTTGCCTGCCTCCTTTTTTTAAACCATGAAGCAAATTAATTGGAACATTGATGACTTCTAATAAATGCAAATTCGCATATAAAAAACCGTTGTTGCAAATTTTGCCTCTCGTTAATTTTTATGCACTTATCCGAAGATGAATGCTGGGATCTCAGCACAGTTAGGAAATCAAATAAATTAAATTTAAGTATATTATTTCAAAACAATCTAGCTCAGTATTTGTTGATAGTTGTTTAACACTGACTAGTCGCTCGAAGTTTATTTAGTAACCTTCCCGCTTCCTCAATGATATTTGGGAAACAAGACCGCTGTCTCATTGATGAACGATCTTAGCTCATGCACGGCTTGATCATCCCATATTAGGAGCCTCGTCTAGAGCAATCAATCTTTGTTTTTTTATGCTGATGTTTGATTGAAAGGAAATACCATTATGCAGAAACGAAGTTCCGTAAACATAACATCTGGGTCAAATGGCTTCAGCTCAGTTCACATTCTTAAGGAAAATTTTCTTAGAAAATACGGCTGCACCCCGAAAGATCTCGGGTGACGACGACACCCTGTGAGGCATGGACGACGTGTCTGCGCTCGCAAAACCGCAAATTTCCCCGAACGTTCGTCAGGTGGTAACAGATTGACGTTGGAAAGTTCATGAACCTTCTTGAGCTCTTCTTAAAGTTAACGGATGTTGACATTCATGGGCGTGTTTTCGCGCAAACGCAAGGGGGCTTTAAAAGGTTTTCTCTAGCGCCAGTACTGTCTGAAATTTACCTGAGCGTGTTGGACTGTGTAGTGCACTCTAAGTTAGAGTTGATGACGCGAGCTTGTACAATTGTGAGGCGGTACATAGACGCCTTTAATACTAAAAAATTGGTGTTCGAATTTTTTAATATTAATTACTCCCAACCAGACAGATCTCTGTCAAATGTTTACTTTTAAATAGACGCCTTTATTTATTTTTGTTTTTGAAGGTTTTGATGTGCATGAATGATTTGATTTTGTAAAACAGTAGGCTCCTGAGTTGTCGTTTACAACAAAGAATAGTAGAAAAGGCGTCCTACCGTTTCTACAATTGAAGGCATTTTCTGTCCAGGGTTTTCTGTTGGGGATACGGTAAAGACGCACCAAAGACCGTGTTGCCCGATCACAGTTGTCACCCAAAAGGCGGTAAAACGGGGAGTTGCACCCTTCCTTCTTATGAATGCCTTAAGGAAATTATATTGCTACCATTCGCAAAAATGGGTTCTTTCTCAAATTTCGAGATTAACTCACTCGGGCTGCTGTAGAAGATTATAGTGAGTCTTTGCCAAGGCTCTCAAGCTTAGGAAATGTCATAGAGCGCAAGAAGCCTGGAACCTGGGTCTATTTCCGTATTATAATATACATTTTCACACACTTTGAAGGTTTTGGCGGGAGGGTATAGCGTGAGCATTGTGTTTAAAAATGACTAAACTCAGTACTTAGCCCTTTCTCCGGGCGATCAGCGTGGGTGTCAAAAGAAACAGAAATAACCAGCAACGAATCGTGAAGGAGAAGTTGTCTACGACGTTCTTATTGCGTGTAGGTTCACGTATGTCGGCGAAACTGGTCAGTGTGTGAATAATCGTGTACTGACACATAAAAGGGCAATGACGTTAAATCGCCGACATGGTCAGCATTCCGGGAAACAACCGGCCTAGTTCAAGGTTTTCACACCATGTTCCGTATTAACCTTGACGAGATCACGCCTTTAATGTGAAATAGAAAAGAACGGGATTACTGCTATCTTAACATAATATTTTACAGATCTTTCCGCCCTTCCATTCTTTTAGCGTTAGAGTCCTGCCGCCACCGTTTTTCTAGAAAATGTTGCATCACGCTTCAGAAGTAGACAAGCGGAAGGGGGGCAAAGTGTGGGGGAGTGAGTGCTCGTCGCGAACAATTCTTAGATTGTCTTTGACGCTTGTTCTTCCAATGCTTTTAGCAAGCTGACTTTACAATTCAAAAAGTGCTTATTTTCTACATCATTTACCCCCTCTGAGGTGTATCTCATTTTGCGTTGGTCTTATTTTGTATTAGGTATATTGCACATTGATTATTTTACGTGGCTGTATTTGATTTGCAAAATTTGTTGTTGCGTTAACTGTGTATGCGTGATTAATAAAGTTTGATGTTGAGTAATGTATTTTCATTTCTGTAAAAAACGTGTATAAGGCTTATGTTGTTAATAAATAAATAAGTAGATACCTATATATAACACGAAGCAGCTAACTCCTTCGAGCTACCTACACGGCTTATGTAAGCAACGCTCTGCGGACTTCTAAAAAACATTTTTGAAAGTAATTTTGCGGGCTTTAAAATAAAAGTTGTAGAGCACAGAAAACAACCGATACAAAATTAATGAATTGTTGAAAAATTCTCAGCACAGATTGTATCTCCATTGGCCCTAAAACTCTTCTTTACTTTACTACTACACAGCCTGCGAAAAAGTAAAGAAGAGTTTCAGGGGCAATGCAGCAATAATCTGCGCTGAGCGGGAAGGGAATAACAAAAAGAAGGTGGCATCCTTCCCTTACGTTCACCGCGTTTCACACGGCTTAAAGGGGATCGCATCAAGATACGTTGTGAGTGTCGTTTTTTCGGCCAAAAATAATATGAGCCAGATTTGCCCCGACATAGAAAGGCGTGTTAGTCAGCGGGAAAATCCGATTAGTCATGGTTGCACTGTAAAGCATGGCACACAGTTCATATCATGCACCGTTGGAGCAGGGTATAGGATACCTTTCTCATGCTGGCGGTTGAATATTGGCCAAACGGGGCGCTGTTTGAACAACCGTTTAAGAGAGCACCAGAGTTCATTGAAGGGGTGCGCGTACTCCAATCTTCCGGTGCGTTGTCGAGATTGTAAGTGTGAGCCAAGATATAGCGACACCGAAGTTTTGTTCAAGCACAGGGACCAAGTGTCTAGAGAGATACTAGAGGCATACCAAATGAAAAGGGCGGGAACCTCTTGTGTCAGCCAAACGTCTTTGGCACTGCTGGAGAGTGAGGTGGCGTTTTTGGATTTGGGATATCATTATGTCACTTTTATCACTTTTAACACGTGCCATCACGCTGCTATGAATTGTCTCGTGATACGCAGACGGGGGGTGTGCTGCCAAAAAGGAATGGTCCTTTTCATGTGTTTTCCTATTGAAATATTTCAATTGATAGTCAGCGCTCGTCCCGTGTGTTTCTTCTTCGTCCTCGTCTGTTTTTCGCACTGTTTCCTACGATGAAGGTATCTTGCTAGGCCATCGCATTTTCACGAACTCTTTAACTCTTCAACTGAATTTCGCGATAATATTGTCATCCCCCCTCGCCCGCATCTTCCCTCGTCATGATCACCCCAACAAAGTTCTAGTCCCTTCGCAGAAACTAACCTGTATAAATTTTGCCCGCTTCTGCAGCGCATAGTCGACTGGAATGAGTCGGCAGGCGAAATCGCACAGACAACAAACAATGACACGTTGGTTTCACTCTTACGTGTGTTTTTATTATTTAATATCTTTTTACATCTTGTAGACCCTGAGAGGGGTCTACAAGATGGTTCCCCATCTCTATGTCTACAAGATGTCAATTCATTACCATCTCGCCTGCTCTCTAACCCTGCTGATAAATCTGTTTTCTTTTTTCTTTTCTAGGCAGAACGTGTGCGTTTGGTACCTTATGTTTCCACACGTCAACTTCATCATCGCTGAGTAAGTCTTTACTATGAGGTTTTCTATGTGCCCTCTTTTTGGCACCACTTGTACCTTTCTTCTATTTTACGTTTTAATGACTAACTTACTTCACGCTGGTGTGCGTGAGAAAGCGCCATGTAACGCGTTATTTAGGTCTGTTATAATTATTACGTTTCCTTTTATATTTTCATACACTCACAACATTGCGTGACAATGATGACATTCTATGTACCCCCCCCCCCCCCCCACCCCCATCTAATGCCCCTGTGGGCCTTTAGAGGTAATTAAAAATATACACAGTGCCTCTGGGGGTAGGGGGTGGTAAGATCGCAGCGACCCCACTACGCAGTGGTGACAAGGAGGAAGTACTCCTTAAGGTCGTAAGAAAGCGCGCCTTTTTACTTTAGCCCGGCCGTGCTATGGCAGGTTTGAAATCAGTCGTGCCTAGTTCTCGAGCACGTAGAGAGAACAAGCCTGCCAAAGGTACCTGCGTGTGGATGCTGCAAGTCGGTGTCTGTTGTTTATTTGTCTCTACTTTCACGGAGTCCTGCCTGACTCAGGTAATAAAGTAGCATATTCTGCCCAGTTTTACGGCATAAATATTTGTTTGTTTGTTAAAAGTCTTAAAAAATGCTAGGTAATGCAGTTACGGAACAAACCAATGAACATGGGTATCGAACCCGTGGAATCATTACAGAAGTCAGATTACAGGTAGACGTTCGTGTCATTAACAATTACCTATAATATTTACTTATGTACTAATTGGTTAGCAGCGACGTTTTTATTATTTGCAATATTATACTTTAGTATACGTGTTTTTCAGGCTTCAGTGTTGAAAAAATATTGTTATAATAAAAAGGGAACTAATCTTGTATCACGGGTAAACTGAAATATTACCTGGGTGAAAAAAATGAACACTTTACAAGCTTCTCATAAAATGTTGACGTGGAATACCCCAATATTTCATGCGAAGTTTAACAAGCCTTTAAATTTTCAGAGTAAGAACCCTCAGCAGTCTACACGTTTTTTTAGAGCTTATCCGAACCCCTAGCGTACAATTCTGGAGGATTCGGAGGCGTATATGAGCGGACTGGGTCATGCCTCTTGCCACGGATTGCTAAAAAAAAACTTTCAGTTGAGAGTGAGAACTCGTATGTTGTTATTGTCTTACTTGTATCCCTATTTTTTCTGCGTTCTGTTTCTTATTGTTAATCAGTACCAACTGGCCCAGGGTTTTTCATCGTGGAGCGTCAGGATTCCGCTGTGCCTACTTTCATTAAATTTTTTGAAAACACGGATCTCGTTTCTTGTGCACCGCCCAGTACAAATATATGTTTCATTTGTTGGAAACGTATTCGTTATTACGTACCTTGTGTTCTTCGATTCGCGTAGCTGTCAGAATAACTTTGGTGTTTTCTAAATCTTGAAAACGCAACTCGGCCTGAAAATACAACCATGGCGTATGTTTATGTAGATCCCATTTGATATGTAGTTTAGTTGTAGTATGGATGTGCACAAATGAACTTGTATAAAATTATGAAGGAAAAAAAACGAGGTTTGAAACTTGCAGTTGCAACTTTTACGAGAACTTACAGCTTTTACGAGCACTTCAAGATAGGCCCGAAAATCTTCAGTGGTGGAAGAATAAGGATTTATTGTGGTGTATTTTTGATCATAGATTATGCACACACCAATCCAAGCCGTCATTTCTGTAATTGAGATAATATACTCCTGTTTACTTCGGATATAATAAAAATAACTAAAAACACAACAACGAAAAACAGAGGCTTTTCATGTAACGCTCCTAAACTGTGGTCAGATGCACGATTCTCCTGGGATACGACGAGGCGTGGAGCGTAAACGCCGAACGAAGTTTGCTCAATACAAAGTTGAGTATGCCTGAGACAAAGCTAATAGCAATGACATCAAACTTAAGAGGGAGCGCTCCTCCAAGCCCCATAGAGAATACACGCGATTTTCTGCTATTTTACGAAATTTTTCATTTAATAACCGTTACTCCGATTTTTTCAAACTTTTTTGCTATAAAAAGATTGATTCTTCGTCCAACTATCCCACAGAGCATATTTTTCATAAAAACATTTATTATATTTTATATTAAATCGTGAAATCGGTCGGAATCGGCTGTTTTGACATGTTTACGTTAGAACGCGTTTTTAAAAACCTGTGAATTTTGAACTACAAATGTGTCTGGTGGGATATCTGCGGAATTTAACACGGAATTCAATTATATTAAAATTATAGCTGTAAGTACATCCGTTCTTTAACTACATCGAAAAAACGGAACCAAGGTGTTGTGGCTTGTTTTCCTCGTTTGGACGGTCAAGACTAGTTCGACGAGCGCCGCGTGAGGGCGCCACCATTTCGCCACGCACATAGGGAGGCTCAAGTGAGGGTGGGTGCAACTGCTAGATCGGCGATCACGGGACATGGACGCCATTTAATTGCTAAATTTTGCTGGGAGTCTATGGGGCAAAGGGTCGTTTTCTTTTCTAACTCGGGTCATAAAAGCCCATTAAGGTGCTTGAATAATTTACACAAGGTATAAATGATTACTTTTCCATAGCCACCAGTTTGGTTGCGATAGGTTAAGTATTTTTTTAACGCGAAAAATGGTAAATTCCGCCATCTTGGACGTTGCTGCTTGTCTGGCAACTTTGCTTTCTCCGCTCGACGTTTGCAATTCTCGGAGCGAGAAGGAAGCGAGAGAGGCTGCGCCAAGGCGCTCGTTGCTTGCAATGGGAGGCGAGAGGAGGAAAGGCGCATGGAGCAACAGAGTTGCAACAGAGCGGGCGCCTGCTTTCGTGCAGGCAACACTGGCGCATATCCTTTATCGAATCCTCTCCCTCAGGCGCCGCCATTATATTGCAAACGCTCTCCAGGTTTTGAGTTGCGCCCACCCTCACTACAGCCTCCCTACACGCACGCTGCTCTGATTTTGTATTACTCCGCGCGCATGCGCTCTTCAGTAATGCGCTTGCAGGGTTGCCAGGTTGGGCTATAAATAGCCAAATTGGGCTAGTTTTATTTGCAGTTGGCGGGAAAAGATGGTAGTTGGCTATTTGGCTAGTATTGGGCTATTTCTGGCCTGTGCATTGGGCTATTTCTGACCTGTGCATTGGGCAATGTCTGACCTGTGCTGGAACCAAAATGACAGAAAGCACCTGGGTGTATAGGTTCGAATGTATTTTTTAGAGTAAGTTACGTGAACATTTGGCGCTTCAGTCCCTTAACCCTGATAAGTTTGAAACAAATTCGTCTTCTTTTTGCGCGCCTTGTGCAGTTGTTTACCTCCGAATTTTGTCCGAATGCAAGCATGTGCTGTTATTCCCCCATCTCAACAAGTGACGGCGCGACTCTTTGCGGCCTTAACAGCACCTGTTCCGCGCATTCTTTAGGTTGTCTGTTGATTGGCGTGCACCTATACTTTGTGTTTAATTCTGCATAGTTCTCCCGTGACATCATTCTGGTCACCATGCCCCGATAGTAAGCGTCCCAATACAGTGGAAGGTATGTTGTCATGCGCTAGTGCGAGCGTTTCAGGAAGTTCGCCGAACCTGCAAGGGACGCCATTTCTGGGGCATTTAATGGATAAAAATGTATATGTCTTTTCTGCTCAAAATAAACGTTCCAAATGATAAGATTTTTTGGGCTATTTTTGGGCTTTTTTTCTGGATCGACATTTGGCTATTTTTGGGCTATATCTCGTAGACGTTTGGCGGGTTGGAGTTCAAACACCTGGCAACCCTGCGCGCTTGTGGTGGTCCAGGGACGGCAAGACCCGTCCAGACAGAGTGGTTTTGTTTCTCGGGGTAAGGTGTCAGGCGGATAGCTGTGCGTGTTTTCATAACTAGAAAGGCCGTTCTCGCAGTTATGGGTCCACAGAGGTATAAATATGGCAAGCGAAAGGTCTCGAAGTCGCAAATAGAGTTTGCACGTAAGCGACCCTCTGCTGAAACTACGGATGGTGAGGTTTCAGGTGAGGTTGAGTCATTGTGTCGTAGCGCTGCGAGAACGATTTGACTCGGGGTGTTGAAGATGCCGCTTGGGAAGCCATGCAACAGGCCGGAGTGGAAGAAGCGAGGCGCGCGAAGGAATCTGGCGAGATCGATGCCGAAGGCTATCCGCTTGTTACCGTCGTTGCAGACTGTGCGTGGTCAAAGCGATCGTAGAAGGAAGGACGCTCCTTTTGGAACGGTAAGTACTACATTTCTTCCTCTAAAAGTGGCGCGAATTTTGATCGTAGATATAATATACATTTCTTTAGAGTGCGTTCGAAAGAAATCCGAAGCATGTTTTTCTCGCCGCGAAAATACATTAGTCTCTGTCGCTAGGCTACATTTGGGCGGAGACTGAGCATATGGCAATGCGTAGTTTTTTTTTATGGTGAGATGACCGGTGGTTAGAATCCCTCTCTGTTGTATGTGTATTTCTGTGAATGCAAGATTTGTTTCGGCAACTGGGGTCCGACGATTTCTCACGAAGCACTGGAAACAGTTATGCTTTTTGTGTGACTGTTTTAGTGACCGCTGTTTTATGTACTATACATTCCGAATATACGCGGTGCCATGCAGTCAGTTCGTCAGACGACGTTTTAAACAGCTCGTTTCTTCAAAGCTGCACTTTTTCAAGGATAAATCGTTCCATCGGAAATAGCCGGCGTTCGTTTCATCGATACACCTTGTGACGTTTCGTCTAGTTTTTCTATCATGTGCGTGCTCGCGCTTGCGTACGTAATTGCGCGTCCGCGTCTGCTTGCGTGTGCGCGTGCATGAGCGAGGATGCTTATGTGCGTGCCCCCCATGCACATGCGTGTTTTCCTGCCTACGCGTGAGTATATATACCCGCGTATCTGTGTGCGTGTTATACGTGCATGTGCGTGCGTGTTTGCACGCGTGGGCGTTTGTCTGCTCATAAGTGCGCGTGCCTGTGCGAGTGCGCGCGTGCACGTGCGTGTGTAATTCGTGCGTACGTGTGCGCGGGTGTGCTTGTGCGTGTGTACGTGAATTTGCATCCGTGCCTGCGCGTGCATCCGCGTATCTGTGTTCGCGCATGCGTATGAGTGCCTAATTCGTGCGTGTTTGAGTGGGCGCATGCATACTTGGGCGTACGTGTGCCCAAGTACGCACGTTGTCGGACTTTGCGGGAAAGGTTCGAGAAGCTCGAACCTGGTCGAACTCGAATGTCGCTGGTTCGCGACACCTTTAGTACTCACGTTGCGGACGGTTGGTGATTGGTCGCTGATAACTTCTCCGTAACTTTTTGCTTTATGTTTAGCGCCATTTTTTAATAATTTTATTCGTGCAATTGTGATCTTTTGCGATTAAACTCTCTGTACCCTTTCCTTGTGACCTATGAAACGATCTCGAACGCCTCGAACAACAGCGGCGCTTGCGTTCGTTCTCGGGGCTAGTAGGCAAGGAGGTTACAACTATTTAGATGACGTCAGACTGCCTTTTGATGCCGAGTCACAACACAGAAGTATGGCCACCGAAGGCAAACGCAGTTATCCCATTGGCGAGTTTGCTTTGTCTTTCATTTTTCACAACTCTCGCGAATCAAAAGTTTTGCTTTATCGTTTGGTGGTCATGTTTGTGGGCGATGTTTGTGGGCACGTGAATAGACCCTATAACCGTTCATGGTGTTTTTCTCTGCTTTTATTTTTTAGATTGAACGATTCTGCTGCAGTGTGGAACGAACTACACGAAAGTGCTCAACCTTCTACGAAGTCTTCCGAGGAGCAGAACGTGTGGGGATCAGGACTATGGGAAGATTTGTTCTCAAGTCATGAAAAACTGCCCGGTCGGCAATCATTACAAATTGTCAATGAAATACTATAAGAAACAATCAGTTTCGTGAAAAATTTTATAAAAATACTTTGTTGTGCAGTGCTTGTGACTAGTTGTGATGAAGTAACGAAGGTATATGCCGGTAGTTTGTCATATATGTATTCGATTATGTATTTATTTTTAAAGTACCTAATATACAGTGTTGGTTTTACTTAACTGGAACGTGTTTTTCTTTTAGAGGAGGGGGAGGCATTTACCTTAGTGCCGTATTCACTGTGCCTTTAGGGGGCTCGGCGAACATTACATGGGAGATCATTGTAGCGATAAGCTGTGTGGGTAAAAACTAAAATCTGCTAATCAAGTTTCCCACGAGCGGGTTTCTAGCTCGTGTTGCAATTATATATTTAAAGTCATTAGACGGTAAATAAATTTGGACGTATTGCTAAAACCCAAAGGGATTTTAGGTATCTAGGTTTTCAGTTTTTTTATGGCCAAAACATAATTGGCTCGTTTGGCCACGGGAATCGCAGTACCGCTATTTCTGCATACTTGAATAAAGCAATCACTCGCTAACACATCGTACAAAATAAATAACGTGTTAATAGCAAACACAGTGTTTATAGTGAGAAATAATATTCCGGGGCGCCTCTCGCGGCACAGATCATTTGATAGTGTTTTATCAATGTCATTTATGTAATACAGTATCGCGAGAAATATATTGTGTAATTAAAAAAATATTTATTATATATTGACAGTGCTACTGCCGAACTCTCCACGCCGGTCCACTTGTTAAGACGGATTTTGAAGTAATGTCTTGTGATTGTCTTTGTCGCCTCGTGTTCCATGTGTTTGTAGTTGACAAGTGTTTATTTGAATCTACGGTCAGTGCATTCAACCGTACG